CTGGAACCTGCTTTGAACTCTGTGTCTCCCTCTCTGCCCGTTCACCTCCTCCCCCCCCCCCCCCGGGTCTCTCTCTCAAAAATGAATAAACATTAAAAAGATTAAAACAGTCACATGTATTGGAAAGAAATTAAGAGTAAAAGAATACTTTTATATTTACTCAGATTTTTACCATTTCTAATGCTCTTGATTATTTTTTGAACACTTGTGTTTCCATGTGTTTGTTTTTCTACACTCAGTAGCCTTTAACATTTCAAGTATGCATCTGCTCTGACACATTAGCTAAGTTTTCCGTTGTCTAAAAATGTCTTATTTTGCCTGAATTCTCATAGATATTTTCACTAGATACAGACTTCTGTATTGATTTTTTTTTTCTTTCTCAGCTCTTTGGGGATTGTCTTTTATTTTATTGTCTTTTAGCCTCCATGGTCTCTGATGAGAAGTTAGATATTATTCAGATCGTTGGCCATTGTAACTAATATCTTGTTTTTCTCGGGCTGCTTTCAAGATTTTCTCCTTTTCTGGGGCGCCTGGGTGGCTTAGTCGGTTAAGCGTCCGACTTTCGCTTAGGTCATGATCTCGGTCATGATCTCGGTTCATGGGTTCGAGCCCTGCTTCAGGCTCTGTGCTGACTGCCAGCTCAGAGCCTGGAGCCTGTTTCAGTCTGTGACTCCCTCTCTCTCTGACCCTCCCCTGCTCACGCTGTCTCTCTCTAGAAAAAAGAAAAAAAAGGGATTTTCTCCTTTTCTTTGCTTTTAGCAGTTTAACTACGATGAGCCTGATTTATTTCTGTTCCTATTTATCCTGGACTCCTCAATTATGAAAATGTATGTCCTTTACAGATTTGAGATATTTAGCCAATATTTCTTGAAATATTTTCTCTGCCTCATTCTCTCTTCTTCTGAGACTTTAATTACATATATATTAAACCTTTGGATATCATATTACAGGTACTGAGGTGCCTTTTTTCTTTCTTTCTTTATTTTTTTTAAATTTTATCTTAAATCTTTTTTAATGTTTGTTTTTGAGAGAGAGACAGAACACGAGCAGGGGAGGGGCAGAGAGCAAGGGATGCACAGAATCTGAAGCAGGCTCCGGGCTCTGAGCTGTCAGCACAGAGCCCAGCACGAGGCTTCAACTCACAAACCATGAGATCATGACCTGAGCCAACATCAGTTGCTTAACCTACTGAGCCCCCCAGGGGCCCCAGTTTTGGTTTTTGTTTTTAATCCTTGTTCTCTGTGGTCTTAAGGTTGGGTAATTTTCATTCCTTGGTCTTCAGATTCACTTCAAATTCAAATGACTCTTCTGTCATTTTAAACTTTTCAATTTACTATATACTGTGTGTACGTACATATATGTACACTGTATACTGTCATTTAAATTGTCATATTTAAACATTTAAATACTGTTAAACCTACCTGTGACTTTTTATTTTAGCTCTTATGTTTTCAGTTCTAGAATTTGCATTTGGTTCTTTTTTACAGTTTCTGTAAAATCAGAGATTTTCTTGCCTTTTATCAATTAAGAGAATATATTGCTTTACTTCTCTGAAAAATCATTATAATAGCTGCTTTAAACATCATATCTGCTGATTACAATATCTAGAATGTTGCAGGGTTGGTCTCCATCTTTTCTCTTGATAATGGGTCATATTTTCCTGGTTCTTCGTGTGATGAGTAATTCCATACCCTTAATATTTCATTTAGTAGATATTCTGGATTTTGTCATATTCCTTCAAAGAGCATTGCTAACTTTTTCTTTTAGCAAGCAATTAACTTGGTTTGACTTAATGGAAAACTCTTGTCTTTTGGGCATCAGTTGAGTTCAGTTCAATTGCTTTATACTTAGTCTGCCCTATTCAGTGCATGGTTCAGCAATCAGTCAGAGACTTGAGCTGAGTTTATACACAGAATTTTGACTACTTCCTATAGCATGCTCACTCTGTCTTTTCTGGAAATCACCTTCCCCTAATTTTTCAGTGACTGTTAGTGCTATAAGCTCTGTCTTTTGAAACTTTAGGTAGAAAAATTGTTGGTTTTCTATTGGAGTTTTAATGACCCCATTAGTGCTGTGGTCAGTTTTTAACCCAGAAGCTACAAAATAAAAATAAAACAGCTTTTAAAAAGAGAAACTCCTCCCAATCTGTTCTTTCTTTCTTTTTTTGTTTTGCAATTGTTATCCCTCTTCCAGACTCTATTATGTTTAATCTCCAGGGCCATGAAGTAGCTGCTTTTTGTATTTTGTCCAGAATTGAAAGTCAATCTGTGGGAGGGCCCATCTAGCAGAAGCTTACTTGGGTATAGAGAAGCAGAACTTCCCTGGTAGGATTTTGAGATTTTTGTCTTTCACTGTATTGAACATTTCCCAAGTTATTTGTTTCTAATCATAGAAATATTATGCATTGGGGAGCTGACATTTAGCTTTAGGACCAAATTTTATAAAAACTGAAAAAAGAACCAGTGTTCTTTTCCTTACACTTGCTCTTCCATACTTATATGCAATTCTGTTTTCTCCTTTCTACACATCCAATAAAGCACACTATGAAAATGACAGAAATTTGTGGAAAATTTGTGGACTCTTAAGCAACACTGCTGCTGCCTCCATCTAACTGCCAGCATTTTTTTTTTCAAATCTGGAAGAAAGTTATGTGGTGAATAGAACAATATGTTTTATAGTTTAAAAGCCAGGAGTGGGAGGAGACTTATAAAACCCCTAAGAAAAGAAAGACCTCTAAGCTAAATCAGTGTCTACTTTTACATATTTATAGATCACCCTCTGACTAATGTGCAACCAAGGAGAGTAATGCAAACAGTTTGTTTCTTTTTGTACTTATCAGAATAAAATTTTCTGCTTTAATCTCTAACTCAGCAACTTGCCTGGTTGTATGATAGTTCTGTTCCTCCAGTTAACCCGTGATTTACTTTCCATCAGAGTAGGCAAGTCATCTTACCATACTGCTTCTTGTCCAGTGTTAATCATCTTATATTCTTCCCTGTTCCTTCCCCGTCAGGTGATCCCAAGGTTTCTGAGAAATGAAAAGCAACTTATCCTGTTACAAAGACTAGGAGTTGCTGAGAGAGATTCTCAGGTTGGATGAATGCTGTTTCTTTACCCATAGTTGGTGTGGCAAAGTATTCTCTGTTGTGAGTTCTTTATTGTAAGACTAGCAGCAACACACATTCCAAAAACAAGCCAGAAAACTATTAGGTCTTCACACTTAATCTCTGAAAATGTCTCAGTAGTCCTTCTTGCTCATGGGACAAAGACTTAATTTTCTATTAATATACCCTTGTAGGATTTCACTAAAGTCTGGCATAATGTTTATGTTTATGCAGATCTTAGCAGTTTTCTGCCTCTGACATTGACTACTTAGGATCTTTTTCAGTTTACTGAAGTTTTGAAAAAGAAAAAAAAAGATTTTAATTTCCTTACCTGTTAACTTTTTTTTTTAAGTTTCTATTTATTTATTTTGAGAGAGTGTGTGTGTGCCCATGAGCAGGGGAGGGGCAGAGAGAGAGAGAGGCAGAGAGAGAATCTTAAGCAGGCTCCACAGAACCTGAGGCAGGACTCAAACCCACGAACTGTGAGATCACGACCTGGGCTGAAATCAAGAGTTGGGTGCTTAACCAACTGAGCCACCCAGGTGCCCCAACTTTTCTTTCTTTGTTAGCCCTTGACCTTTTTGGATCTGCCTTGGAGAAGTCTACACTGTCAGTAAATGATGGCTAACCATTATTTACATGCTTAGTATTGAACTTTATTTTTCCTCTCAGTTCATAAGTGTATGTAAAACTGTTTTTTTTCCCCAAGAAAGTTTATTTTATCATACATAATCAGCATGTTTTCAGCCATTATTGAGAGCTGGTGCAAAATGGAAAACAGCATTATATATCATTCTCGAAACACTGTTCTCAGATGATTTTTTTTTTAATGTTTTGTTTATTTTGAGAGAGAGAATTGAGCAGGTAGAGCAGAGACAGGGTATGGGGAGAGAGTGAGGGAGGGGGGAAGAGAGAGAGAGAAAGAAGGAGAGAGACAGAGACAGACTCTCAAGCAGGCTCTGCGCTGTCAGTGTAGAGCCGGATGTGGGACTCAAACTCACAAACCATGAGATCATGACCTGAGCTGAAACCAGGAATTGGTTGCCCAACTGAATGAGCCATCCCAGCACCTCTGAGATGATTATTCTATAGTCCTTGCCTTCAAAGAGCTTAGAATCTGGTAGACAAAACAATAGTGTAATGGAATTTATACTTGAAATTTATACCAAAATCCTGGATCCAATGTCATGTAACATACTTAAATCATAGTTAAATCACTCAGAAACTAACCACTACTTTTCTCATATTATAAACATTTCTTCAACTTACTGTACCTTTCCCCATCATAAGTACAAGAGGAGCTGTCCTAGTACTCTTGGTGTAATACATATTCCACTAAAGAGAGTAACTTCATCTGTTAAATAACAGCTGTGCTTTTGGGTACAGGGAGATAAGGAGACAGAACTGAGGCAAGAAACATGAGTAGATTGCTTCTTGCAGTTTGATGTCATAAATCACTGCCTCTAGATGCCAAACATTCTGATCAGCATCTTGAAATTTACTTTATACATCTCCATTTTCCTCCATTACCTATCACATCATCATCATCATATACTAATAACCACAATATTATCTAGTAGTGAGCACATTCTGTGCACAAGGCACTAAGCTAATTGCTTTACAAAGATGAGTTCATTTAAATCTTTACAATATCCTTGAGAGGTAAGTGACAAATTATTATGATGATTACATAGGCCACTTAGTTTAGAGATGTTCAAAGATCTGTTGTGTGCACTGTGGTTGATCCATGAATCTAAGATCCGTAGTTTAGTTTCAGCTCCAGGGATGGCTCAGTCTATGTCCTTGAGTAGCACATTATGCTTCAGCTGCCTATTTCTAAGGGATAATAAATATTAGTATCTTCTGTTTTAGTCTTATCTACACATTACTTTATTATTTTTTATGGAATGCTTCACAAGTTTGCGTGTCATCCTTGCACAGGGGCCATCCTAATCTTCTCTGTATTGTTCCATTTTTAGCATATGTGCTGCCAAAGCAAGCGCTACACATTACTCTTAAAATGTAATCCTCGGGGTGCCTGGGAGGCTCAGTCAGTTAAGCATCTGAGTTTTGATTTCAGTTTAGGTCATGATTTCACGAAACCATGAGAATGAGCCCTGAGTCCAGCTCTGCGTTGACCTAGGAGAGCCTGCTTCTTGGGTTACTCGCTTTTGTATTCAATCTCTCCCCCATTCGTATTCAATCTCTTTCTCTCTTTTCTCTCTCTCTCTCAAAATAAATTAATTAATTAAAAAAATAAAAATAAATATAATCTGGGGCGCCTGGGTGGCTTAGTCGGTTAAGCGTCCGACTTTCGCTTAGGTCATGATCTCGCAGTTCGTGGGTTCGAGCCCCGCATCGGGCTCTGTGCTGACTGCCGGCTCAGAGCCTGGAGCCTGTTTCAATCTGTGACTCCCTCTCTCTCTGACCCTCCCCGGCTCGCGCTGTCTCTCTCTCTCTCCTAGAAATAAACAAAACATTAAAAAAAATAAAAAAAAATAAATAAATAAAAATAAATAAATAAATATAATCCTCATAACAACTGCTAATGGATTGTGGCCCACATTTTTTTAAGGTTTTATTTATTTCTTAGAGATGGAGAGAGACAGTGTGAGCAGGGGAGGGTCAGAGAGAGAGGGAGATACAGAATCCGAAACAGGCTCCAGGCACTGAGCTGGCTGTCAGCACAGATCCTGATGCAGGGCTCGAACGCACAACCCTTGAGATCGTGACCTGAGCCGAAATCAGATGCATAACCGACTGAGCCACGCAGGAGCCCCGATTGTGGCCCACATTTTAAAGGTGCAGAATCTGGGGCACCTGAGTGACTGTCAGTTAAGCATCCGACTCTTGATCTCAGCTAAAGTCTTCATTTTGGGGTCATGGGTTCAAGCCCTGCATCGGGCTCCACACTGGGTACAAAGCCTATTTTAAAATTAATAAATGAAAATTAAAAAAAAAAAAAAGATGCAGAATCTAAGCTTGGAAAAGTTGAATAATTTATCGAAGACCACATAATATAGGTAATGTGATGCAAATCTCACTTGAAAGACCTCTTTTAATCACTGTGTTCTTTCTTTATCCTACTATTTCTTTCCCCCTACTTTCTCATAGATAGATGAGATATGAATTATAGATGAAATATTTGTCTTAAAGATGCTAAAGAAAATGTGTTTTGTCCTCTGATTTGGGAAAGAAAAGGGCATATCTGCGAATTTTTAGAATAGATACATCTAACCTCATGCCTTACAGTCCTACCACATGTCTGCTCTGTTATTGTATAAATTGCATATATAAATATGCATATTTTTTGTCACATTTTACAGTTTTTAGGAGACGAGAGTCATTTAACAAGGGGAAAACTAGCTAACATTCAGGTTCATGTTAGTGATGCTGCTTTCTCAGGCATCATACTATCTGTTCATCGAAAATGTTGCTCAGTGAGTTCACTTGCCACTCTTAGGGTCTAATTATCCTTTCAAAGGCCATATTTTATTTTATTTTCTTAAAATTAATTATTTACCTATTTTAAGAGAGAAAGAGAGAGCATGAACTGGGGACGGCAGAGGGGGGTGGGAATCCCAAGCAGGTTCTTTGCCACCAGTGCAGAGCCTGACTCTGGGCTTGAACCCATGAAACTGTGAAATCACGACGTAAACCAAAATCATGATGTGGGTGCTTAAGGGACTGAGCCACCCAGGTGCCCCTCGAAGGCCATATTTTAAAAAGATAAGTCAGGGGCGCCTGGGTGGCTCAGTCGGTTAAGCTTCTGACTTCAGCTCAGGTTATGATCTCATGGCTGGTGGGTTCAAGCCCTGCATCAGGCTCTGTGCTGACAGCTCAGAGCCTGGAGCCTCTCTCTCTGCCCCTCCCCTGCTTACCTCTCTCTCTCTCAAAAATAAACAAACGTTAAAAAAAGAGAGAGAGAAGTCATTCGTCATTTTTAGCTGCTTTAGTTAGCATTAATATTTTATATAAAATAAAATAATTGGAAAGGCCATAATGTATTGAACCTTCAACAGAGATAGAATTTTGATAATTTTTGCTTCTTGTATTTTCCAATTTTCCTATGATAAAACATGTTTGTATAATATTTTAAATTTAAATATAGTTATATTACATAACTACTTAAAAATTCAGAGGTTGTGGGGGACTAGGCTGGCTCAGTTGGTAGAGCATGCAGCTCTTGATCTTGGGGTTGTGAGTTTGAGCCCCATGTTGGGTATAAAGATTACTTAAATAAACTTTAAAAAAAAATTCAGAAATTGGCCTGACAAATATATAGAATTGCTTATATCAATAAGCCAGTAATCACACATTAGCCAACATACCAAAATTTTGAAATTTGGAACTCCTTTTTATATTATCAAAAACCTAGTGCTTCTTCAGATTTATAGAAATGAAATCTCTTATCACTGGTATTTGAGTGTTAGTATATTTAAAAGGCTTTTCTGAACTCAGATTATTGATTTGTATTTGCAAAATACAATATTATTAAATATTAAAATAGGTCATTGAAATTATACTGCCTTATTTTATCACATATACCCTGAATTTGCCATTCACTAAAATAAAGAGATAATGTTTTCAACGAGTTGTAAGCTACAATAATTTGCCTTTTTCTAATAATGTGTATGGGTAAACAAAGGCTTAAGTCCCAATTTCTTCTTGAAATGAGAATTTCTATTTAATTTATTCAAAATCGTGTTGAAGTAATATCTTATAGTAATGTCCTAAAAGTTGTTGAGCTTATTTTTGGAATAACCATTTCTTTGGTGCACCATGTTGCCTCCATATTTATTGCTTGTATGGTCTGTCTATATTATCAGTGTGTCTAGTATATCCATTTGGGTAGCACAACATAATTGCATGAAAATAGAAATTAGGTGAGAGGATCAGATTTACTCTTGAGTTACCTTGGATACAGCCTAGAATCACCTATTTTCTTAGGCCTTAAGCATTAAATGGATGAAGGACAAACATATCCTGTATACCTCCAAAATATTCGGATAAACATAACTAGTTAAGTCATTTAACAAATAATAGTATTTGCTCTGTGCCCTGCACTATTATAAGCATTACTAAGACTGTAGCCATATATAAGACAAACAAAGGTTTTGCCTTTTGTTAGCCATATTGTGAATGATAAACATCTGGAAAATGCAAATTAAAACAGCATGAGATACTTCTTCCCACTATGATGAAGTAACCAGTACTACTTGCCCTCGCACTAGAAAAAACTGTTCTCAGACATTGGACAGTTGACAGTATGGTGATGTGATCCCTGAGAGAAAGGAAGTGGGGAGGAAACTAGGTGAACCCTGGCTTTTAGCCTGAATGGGATGGATAACTCAGAGAATCATAGTCTTACTGAACTGAAGAAACAGATCAGAAATTTGGGGAAGCCAAGGCAACTGAAATGTACAGAGGGGTCCTTTTGAATCATTAACACTGACTTGCACATAGGGAGGTGAGACTAGCATGAGGCTGGAGAAAAGAATAAATACCAGGGAGCTATAAACTGAACAATTCCTAGAGTTCCCACAGGAATGGGAGATTCTTATTAAAAACCTGTAGCATTCAGTAGAGATCCAAGAAGAGACACATTTTCGTAAGGCTAAGCTAACATTAGAGTTACTCCAGACCTCCTTAAACAAAGCTTTAAGAAAAAGTCTCAAAAGGATCAGACTGATCTACCAGTGACTTATATACCTTGGGTCAGAAAGCAGCTGCTTAGCCTTCCTGACGTTGACTTCCTCTGTTAATGCATCCTTAAGTATCCCTGAATGTGGAAGAGCTTGGACACAGCAAAGTGTCTTCTAGTATTTCCTTTTTAACTCAACTATATTCTCAATGTATTTTGTTGAATATTTTTTATGGAAAATAATCCAGTCATTAAAGCTAGAAATTAAATGACTGTAATGTGATTATAATGATGATTTATACATTTGTTTTATAAAAGCCTGAGTCTCTCAGGTGATTTATAGTGTGATTAACATTTATAATATCCATGAGTGCCTTTTAAAATCATCTGTTTTATTAAAACTCTTATTTGTAATGCTTGCTTTTGCTTTGATTTTCTACTGTATACTATTCATTTAGCAAATAATTATTAACCCACTACCATATGCCAAACAGTATTCTAGACACTATAATCTAAAGCATTATATTTGAATGGAAAAAATATAGATTTAGGCTAACTTTTGGTGATGTTTGTTCAGCTCATTTAAAGGAAAGAGGGCTAAATTTATACAGAATTTGCCTTATTCATTAGTACTGCATCTTTTATGAATTTCCAAGCTGTGATATAGAATATAGGAAAGAATAATAAGTGTTCACCAAAATTTATTCCATTTCCTCCTGTGCACACAGGTAAACTGTATAGTCCAGGCCTTTTTTTGCAGGTAGGTGTGTCATAGGACTGAATTTTTAACAATAAGAATATAAATCATGTATACAAATTCCAGCTGGGCTATAAAAACTTCACATATGCAGTTCTTCCCCCTTTGACCCCTGGTCTTTAGCTTGATGTGGAGAACCCACCAGAGAACTCGAGGCTTATCTTAGGATAAGGAGCTTCCTACTGAACACCCATACTGAGTGAGAACTCTATCGTGTTGTATTAAGCCACTGAGATTTTAGTTCTTGGCCTACCCTTACAAGGAGGAAACATGATTGTACTGTTACTGTGTGATGTATGTTTGGGAGAGGACAGTGATTTTTACAAATGCACAAGTCAGTTGAGAGACTTGGGTGTGTTGTGTACAGCAGTTCGTTAAGATGAAAACACTGCTCTCTTGCCCTTGGCTCTGGTGCTGGCTCTTGTTGTGCTTGAACCATTGGAAGGGCTGCTTTAATCTGTATGCTCCCAGATCCTGTCTCGGTCCCCCTGTCAATCTGTATCCTTTCTTCCATCTCCCTGAAATAAAATACTTTCTCCTCTTCTCCATCTACCTTTCCTTTTCTCTTTTCTAAATGATCGGGCAAATTTTGTTAAAAGTTT